GTGCTCGAGCTCGTGCGAGCCTCGCACATACGGGTCACCGTATCTTCATTTGCATACAATAAATTTAAATAAATTAACAACAGCATCACCGGCGTACGTACCTTTCCCATGGGAGCTTTCCCGTGCTAAATCTGATAAATATATATATATTTCACTCCCAAAAAACAATAAAGCCAAATAAATCTGTGGGTAACTACAAGGCCGACCATTAGTACCATGGATCTTATTTGCCTGTTCTCTATATATTTCACCTTTTAGAGGAGCATACATATATGTGTACATGTAGATACTCCTAGGTTTACAGATCAATTGTCACCTGCCAGCGCCAAAGACCATTGCGAGCGCAAGTTATAATCATGGGATTACCTTGGTGGTATTCAAATTAGAGTGATAACTACATGTACGTTTAGTGAAGGATCCTAGGCCTGCATACTGTTGTACATCTAAGTACATGTATGTATTTTGCCACTGACTGACACACTATTTAAATTCAGTTTTAGTTAACGTATAACCCTGTTACATTTAACTAAGGGCCCGTTCGGGAACAAGACAAAACTGAGTTTTCAAGGGCCAATGCCTAACAAACAAGTCGCCAAAACTGAGGTTTCATCCCTGTAAACGCCGTCTTGGACTGTTGCCGAACGGGCCTAATATATATAACTTTCGTATTTCCATAAAATTACATGTGGGTTCTAGACGCGATACTACATGTACATACGATGCGATACAGACTTAAACTAATCTGGAGATATCTTGAGAGAATTCGAGACGTGCGCTCTTGAATACTATATAGGCTAATATATGTAGACAATTAACGCCGCAAATGTTCCTCTCATGATCTGGGCGCAGATACATGTAGAGGCCTACATGTAGCTACATAGGTACACAGAAATTCTCTATATACTCAACAAAACATATTATTGACCAGGCGGATAATAAACAAAGAAACTAATACTGGTTAATCGCGTTAAATGCCAATAACATACTATACTTTCAGGTTTTTATTAATTTTGTGAAAAAGAAATTTTGATCAATTTACGTCACAGGTTATCACTCATATAGAGTGCGAAAGTTGTGAAAGCTGATACGACGAGCAGCTTGATCGAGCCGATACTAAACCCAGTCACACTATTTTTGTCAGCTTTGAATTACTATCTTAAACTTTAACTCTAGCTCTAGCAATACCCAGCTCGGTTTAACAGCCCGATAATAAGGCTTCTAGTAAATTCGGAACGCTACAGTACCAAAAAACGGGTAGGGATTAGTATGGTAGTACTACGCGCATTCCACAAAATAGGGTAGCGCTCCAGTAGTCAAAAAAGTAAAGCCGCATTTCAGCAAATGCTCTAGTATCAATGCCGTATCAATACTGTATTATATAAACTATGTATTCTATGGATTGCATAGTGTGGGTGGTAAATCTGTACTACCATACTAGTGATTCCGCATTTCATAGTATTTGGGACAATGCCAGGCTAGCTCTCACCTAACCCTGAAATATCATATTTGGGGATGAAGCATTTCGGAATCAAAGATCACCAGATATTCATTCATGCTTGGCTCCATCAATTCTAATTATCCTAGGATGGGCTTTAAACATTTGGGATATACTTTTGAAAAATAAATTTTGTGCTCTGAAGCATCCATATACTCGCTACTTTAACCTGAGGCACCACCCACTACCGGGTTGTGGTGCTCTTGTAGTGGTGGTGATGATGATGGTGGTTGTGATGATGGTGATGATGGTGATGGTGATGGTGGCTGTTTGTGGTACTGGACCTAGCATACTGGCTTACTGGACCTAGCGCTGGACCTGGTTCTGGCTCACTGTACTTGGCGCTAGCGCACCGGACCTGCTGCGGGTCACAGAGCTAAAATACGTCTATATTGCTGTGGTAGTGCTACGGTATTGCTACGGTGTTGCTACGGTATTCTGTGAAAAATAGTTTCCTCAAAATTCTGAAATGATGCCGCTGTCCTCAAAATACCCTATTAGGGCAACACTACCATAGTACTACGATACCTATCCCTACCCCTTTTTTGGTATTGTACATTCAATACTCAGCCAAGGTCTAATTCGAGAAAAATAACACTAATTACATGCATCTCCTTGAATATTACTATGACTATCATTTATCTTTAACCTTTCAATCACAACTTATAATACTTCACATACAAATACCTTACATCTTCGGCCATTGACCACCGACCGGAACCACATTACGAGTTCACGGCGCTAAGCCAAGTCCCGTTCGAGATTATGATACGGCCCGACTTCCATGAGTGTTGTCTGATCATAGCAATATAGCTTGTTAACCATCGTGTATACCGTGTAGAGGTAGCGAATTTAGTAAGTGCTAATGGTATATTATCAAGGGATAAGTTAGAGAGAGAGTTGTGTGGTAGGCACGGGGGTTCTTGCGGTCTAGCTTTTATGAAGTCCTGGACTGGCCTGAATCATGGTATATCGCTCGACATACCTAGGCTTGGCAAACGTCGAGCAGAAGTCCCCCAGCTTGCCAAGGATTTGGTACGAGCTAGTTAGAACTTATTTTCGGAAAATCGAACTAATTATGTAGCTCTAACTAGCTGCAGATATTTATACCCTTGGAGTTTCTCACTCAATTACGCAAACTCGAAAAGAAATATATACCGGGGAGGAAGGTTATTGATATATGGATCAGAAGCCCGCCAAACAACATCCTCAAAACTTCGACCGGCTTAATTCTAGTACGTCGTATAACATATATATATATATATAGCGCTCAAGCTGCAAGTATATTCGACAGGACTACTACGTACGTACGCACTGCTGCATGCTGCTCAAGTATACGAGGTTACATCCCAAGCTGGCGAGCAGAAACAACTGTTTCGAGATACCTATATATATATACTATGCATTAATTGCCTTACTCGAGTAAAGCGAAGCGATTGATCCCTGAGGTGCTTAAGATATTTGAGAGAAACATAGACTATATGTATATTAAAAAAATACTACTACGTTTGAAATGACATCTTGCCTTAGAGGCAGCTGCCACTAGTCCTTGATGATAATATGTATTAATATGTAAGTACGTACGACGTAATTTATTAAGTACATGTACTTTATATCCAGTTCGTGGTTTATCAACTACATGTACATTGTCAGGAATCAAGCGTACTTTATGAGAACCATATGTATGTACTCGGTTTGGACTTATATGTACTAATTAAATAACAGGATGACTGCGCAAATATATATTGAACTGCTTGAGATTGGCCAGTAAGTTAAACGTACATGTGATCTCCTCGATTGCCTTTGCCTTGTAGCTAGACTCCAGTACTGCTTTGGGCTGCGTATGCGTCCTAGGCTAGTAGTTACTCATTATATATATGTATATACTGAATTATTAATATTGGAATTGTCCCAGTTTCGGGAGGTATGAAAATCTATGGCCACAGTTAAGCGATTACATCGAACAAGTATGTATAATAAGTATATAATTATAGCCTGCATATGCATGTGCTTTTGATTGGCTCATTGAGAGAGGTTTTGTTTCACTTGAAACATGTTGTGTTGGATATGAACATAGGGTATTGTTCTGAGTGTTAGACTGTTAATATAATAGTTTTCGGCTGGTTCTGGGAATCGATCAGTAGCTCGATTCTAGCGGCTTAGTGGCTGTTAAAGGGATACTTGCAGCTTGAACTGGAGAAATTGTCCCACTGATATATGGCGGATATCAGAAAAGGCACATATCGACCAGATCAAGCACATATAGTGATAGACTTTGCCTGCCAGGCAAATAGAGAAAATAAGCCGCAAAGCGGCTTGCCTGTATATTGGATTGATTGATATAGCTATAGATGTACTCGTAGTTTTTTGACGTTTCCGGACGCGACCACTATTGCATGCCATACAAAAGATAGCCTTGGCGATTTTTTTCTGTGTATGCAATAGCAGTTGCGTCCGGAAACGCTATGAAATTGCGAGTAGTACCGGCCGAAGGCCGGAAACTTCTTGTAGTGCATATATAGATATACTGGCACTGAGTATGCAATGTTTATTTCAAAAGCTTGTGATTGGCTAAGTTTGAGAAACTTTACTTTTTCTTCCTGCTATAGCGCTAGTCGGCATTGGTGAGCCCTACATGTACTCGTAGGTTCATGACGTTTCCGAACACGACCAATATTGCATGACATACAAAAAGGTGGATTTGGCGCTTTTTTGTATGGCATGCAATAGCAGTCGTGTTCGGAAACGTCATGAACCTACGAGCCATGAACTTTGAGCGCACGGGGCAGTTTAGGGCCTCCGCGATCTTTGTGTTGGTCAAGTGACAGATATACATACAATAGGTACAGTCGCTCACCTACTGACGGCGGATCTTGTCTGATGGTTCTGTTTGCAGTAATTTGCCCTTGGCGTCTAAAACCTAACTCTTTTATTGGCCTCAAATCCCTGACCGCCATCAGACAGGATCCACCTTCACCCCGTGAGTGAGTGTACATAAGTACTCTACCTAAGGATGTCGAGGCAAACGTCTGCCATATTCCAGAATCCCGACGTCGATAACTTCTTGTATTACCCTTGCTAACATGGCTCATATTCCCCTGGCAACGATGTTAGTTAACCGAACCTCATCAGACAACGCGAAAAACACGCGCCATGCCTCACCATGTCTCTACCGAATGTATTAAATACGACGACCAGCCCGCTCACAGCTGTATCAGAAAGCTCTCTACCCCACATCCTCTACCTCACACCCACGAGCCCAGAATTCCAATACTATACAAAAACCCAATATGTCGCGACTCCAACAACCACACCCCGAATTCGCCGACCAGATGGACTTGGATTGCGATATGAGATTGGGTGAAGACGATTGCGACATGACATTAGGGGATGAAGAGAGAGAACACTTTGATTGGGAGGGGGCGTGGGCAGAACTAGAAACTGGGTCCGGGTCGATCACGGAAAAGTCATTTGCGCCCAGTACACAGGAGGCGGTCAAGTCGTTCTGGGTTTGGTTTAACAAGTGAAGCACTCCGTACCACCTGTTCATTCTCTTCTGAAAGACATGGATTTCGGTATCTGACAGCTTGCGCAGGTTTAACGAAACTGTTCTGTGTAAACGCAATTTACGCACGGGTACGGACGCCCTGAGGCTATTAACCACGGCAGAAATTCAACTATATCTGTTATATCGTCTGAGATCTTCCCGCACGATCAAGAAGAAGGGACGTCTGCACAGATCAACAGTAGAGGGCTTATTTAAAACCCTGCAAATGGTCTACTACAAATACACCCAGGTGCAACTTCCCAGGAAGATAAACGATGCCATTAATAAGGTGGGAATGGAAAATCAAAAAGACATGGCTGTCACTAACGAACTTCGCAGTTTATCGAGTCGACTCTCACGGAGGATTTCGATCTTATAATGGAGCGTAAAGAGAAGCCAACTTGCTGCGTGACCGATTTATTTAACCTGTTATATTACCATTGGTGTCGAGACGTACAGAGTACATGTCATGGTCGTTATAAGATACAGGTTGCTTTTTTAATGCAACTTATCGCATACACATCATCGAGGCCGGGCTCTATCATCGAGGCTAATGCCTATAAGGGTCTTAGCCAGGTATTGAAATACAAGGTATTTTCGTAATTGTTTGAGACTTGTACAAGTGTTGATAATTATAGGATATGGGTCTATCGTTATTAAGGAACGGCGAACATGGTGGTGTGATTCTGGTGTTAGAAGTGACCACTACATTTCTCAAGGGCAAGAGGAATAAACGTGAACCGTGAGTATATTGTCGCCCCCATCAATACGACTTGGAGGCTGACGTTCATCCAGAGTGACATACGTTCTTTACGAGAGGCGAGACAACCCAATATTTTGTCCCATTATGAATTTCCTAGCGTTGGCATTTGCCGATAACGCATTTATGGAAGGCGGAATAAAAAAGCCAGAAGACCTATTTGCGCTGGAAATCCCCGACTTCAAAGAGACACTATCAATAAATTGGAAAGAGGATATGCTCGAAACTCCGGTATTTCGGCGACAAGAAGGGACGGATATATCCCGGACTACGCCGATGGCATATCGCGATTTAAATCACTATGTTGGGCGATTAGGCGTCTTATCAGGTTATCCACAAAGGTTGACTACTTACGTTTTGCGCAGAGGAGCTGCGAATGCCGTGGATTGTATGTTTTCTTTTGCCTCCGCCGTTCCATTATCGAGATCCTTTAGCTGACTGAGCTTCTAGCTCCGGAGGTATCAGAGGTCCAGAGAAATCAGATCATGGGCCACTCAAGAGCCGACACCTTCCGGAAGCATTATTTGCATCAAACCGTGAAAATCGACACACAGAGCGCATACCTGGGAACCGTCAGTCGATCTGACCTTATCCGGAACATTGGCTTGATGAGCGCCAAGAGAGACCCCCGAGCACCAGTCAAAGTTGACCGGTCTAAGATCGACCTTGAGGCACACCCAGAAATTGTCAAGATGACAGCCGATGCACAACGACTAGCAAAGAGGTTGAGAGCCAAGTCCAAGACACTCAGAGCAGCCAGCGTCCAAGATCCAGCCGGGCACAAGGCATATCTTGCGTTGCAAAGGCGGCTTAACGCGCGGAAACGGACTATAGAGCGCGCAGAGTTTGACCGGACAAGAAAAGATTGGTTCAGCAACGTGGACCATGAAGAAATAAAACTGCAACTTGGTGGTGCAGAAGCATCAAAGTTTACTGCCGAGGAGCCCAATTTGTGTTCGTTGCGAACTGTAATTGCCGACTACTACAAGGGTGTAGGCAACAATATCGCGTGGGCAGATGCCTTACGAGCGCTCACTGGGCTATGTCGCCAAAAGCCCCGGATTCACGGCAACAGCGAACCAAATCCAAACAGTCCACCGATTCATCACAGTGAGCCAAATCCAATCAACCCTCCAACCCATGACAGCAGCGAACCAAACCCAAACAGTCCACCGATTCACCACAGTGAGCCAGGTCCAGGCAATTCTCCAACCCATAGCAGCGAACCAAATGCACGTAATCACCGCACTCGCGGGAGGAAGAAGAGGGCGAGTGGGCCCAAACAGTGCCCTTTTTGTCTTAGCGATAGTGAGTTACAACAAACGGATAGAGAACACAGTTTTCACTCGGAGGGGACACTTCGAAAACATATCTATTCACGTCACGACATCCATATTAGCTCCAAGCAGCCTGTCATGTGTCCTTTCGGCGCGTGCCCACATGTATTGGATGAAGGCGAGCACCTAAAGAGTCACTTTTACAGCGAGCATAATATCAGACTTTATGTGTAATGTCACTTGTTCCGTAGAATCCATTTCCATTTACCTTTATCCGAGACCTTATTAATTTAGTTTCCTTTTGTTATGTTAGAATATGTAATTAGATATACTCAATACCAAATAGATTATATTTCAAGTATTATGATGATGCGAGTGATAATGTGTGATGAAGATAAATGATGCTGGGACAGACGTACGGAAGACCGACCCGCAGGCGACAGACGGGAACATTTTCAGAGCGCTAGAAAAATGAGTTGATAATTCAAGTATTATGATGATGCGAGTGATAATGTGTGATGAAGATAAATGATGCTGGGACAGACGTACGGAAGACCGACCCACAGGCGACAGACGGGGAACATTTTCAGAGCGCTAGAAAAATGAGTTGATAATTTAATAATGTGCATTGTTTATTGTATGTTTCAATGGGCCATATCACCACCGCATTGTCATCAATTTCTTCCTCCCCGTGTTATAACATGCGATAGATAAATGATGGACGCACGGAGGCGAGAATCGGGGAGGCAGATAATGTAACGTATATTGTCTAACGTAAGGTTTCACACTAAATGGGCTCGAGGGCGCGGCAAGTTTGGATTACAATTGTGGTAGTGGGCATAACAGATGGAAGGAATATAGAAGACACTGGAGTATGGGCTACGCAGAAAGTCAACAACGAGATAGGACCAAGATCGTCAACACGCAACGCGAACGAAAGAGAACACATTGATATAAAGATATACTATAATAAGATTCAGCTTGTTACAAAGGGACGCAACGACGGTAATACAAGTAGAGCAAGACTCGGCGTAAATAAGAAGCTATTGCGAACAAAAAGATTCCAAAAAGAAAGATGATAATAAAATTTGCAAACAGATCACGGAATGCGTGAAACAAAAAAGAGTCAAGTCACAACCAAAAGATTTCACAAAAACGAAGGAGAGTTCATAGAATTAGAATAGCGTTGTGAGCCAGGGTGGGCCATATATTCCGAAACTGCGCGGTAAGAGTTTTGAATACATTCCTGGCAGTTGTTAGAAGTGAATAAAACCAGGAAGAAAGAGGTGCCAACCCGAGCAATCCAGATTGCAGCCAAAACACGGTCCAATGTATGAATGTGCGCAATGTGGTTAGGAAGAGAATGGCGGGAGCCGCGACGAAGGGTGTAAAGGTTCGGTCCAACACAGCGCATGATAAACACCATAGTGTTGGGGCCTTTGCATATATTAGAAAATAGGCCAAACGAGAAAGAGACAAAGGGAGAATAGAATACCGGCTTGGATAATGCCAACAACTGAAAGTTTCTTCACAGTTTCTGCGTCATGATGGACAACCTGTTTCAAAGCGTTCAACATTGCACGGCAGCCAACATACAGTTTGGCTATGTCGTTATTCCACTTTGAAGCATTGTCACCTTCCCATCGCCTAGACACTTCAATGGCGCCAAACTCCAGAACCTGGGGGAGATGACCAAGCTGTCGTGTGAGAATAACACCGTCATGGCGGTAGGCGGCGTCAACAAGAAGCGTGGTATCAGTTGCTGCACAAGATAGAGGTATGTCGCGTCTATAAATAATTAACCGATAGCCCATTTTGTTTATAAGAAGTAACGAGTTGAAGACCTTTGAAGCCATAAATCAGGCAGGTTCGTGAAAGAGAGGTCAATAATGTTCCAATATATACCTTCCCAGGCCCCTTCGCCAAGCGGTTGACTGAGTAAATGGGAGTGAGTGAGGAGAGATACGCTACGCGCCATTAGATCTGAAACCGAAAAGCATATGAAGCGGGCTTACATATGCTCATAGGAACGGTTAATCCAGCGGATCACAAAGGGATCGTGTTGAGGGTCCTTCAGTTCAGAAACCTTGTCACATGCAGGAAGATCTCGCACCTAGTGAAGCGTTAGACGATGTAATCAATATAAAAAGGCAGGTGACGTACCATTTTATATTTATCAGCATGGGCCGAGAACCAAGCCGGGCATTGGGGATAATCTTCATTAAGTTCGGGAAGTGACTCCCACAGGTGACGGTGGAGTATTGCGCGAAGTTCAATATCAGCAGAGTCTATAATGCGCCAATGGCTCAAGTCCAGAGCCTCTACACTTCGGGCATATCTAAGAATGATGTCCTCGAGGTATTTTCCAGTAGGTAAACATAATTTTTCTGCGGGGTCTAATTCCATCAGATATATGGTGTCAGGTTCAGCAGATTCGGTGGAGTCAGGTGGAGACTATGAATATTTAGCAAATTGTCAAAGTAAGTTGGTTGTAATGTGGCAACGTTACATCAGTGCAGCCGACCGACGTATCAGCGCTGCCGACCGACGTATCAGGGGTATCTGCCTTCTTGTTGCGAGGCTTCTTGAGTTTCAAAATACGGCCTGTGTAGACCTTTCCCAAGTTGGTTTCTATTTGGGTGCGATTAATGAAGACTTTGCTTTTGGGGCGAGGCGACTGTGCAGCGGTGTGAAATCGTTTTGCGAGTGCCTTATCAGACTTGTGACCCTTTGAGAGAAGTATAAGGTCAGTAACCGACAAAGCCCACTCACGCCAGACGCCCTTTGACGCACTGGTGGCAGACAATGTTCTACGCATCCACCATATAGTAGAATGCTACTTCCACATAAGCCATAGAGACTGTAATCGTGGACCACATAAGCCATATGGCTACATGCGTAATGTGTATGTGCCCGGTACGTATATACCAAGCACGATATATTCTCACTCGAGATATTTTCAAAAAGAATGCGTGGGGGACATATACGGACCTTGGCGGACCACTTCCTTAGCAGCTCGCCAGCGCGTTTACTGCGTTGCGGATCGATATCGTGAATGAGGGTTCTGATGTTCCTATTCCACGCCTGATGGGTGAGGTCTTGGTTATAGCGATGCCCCTGCAAGCTGGCGTTGTCTACGGCTCGTTGCAAAAAGGTTTGAATGTTCCAGGAGTGGGGGGGTTGCTTGAAATATTCGTCAAATGCGTCTGGGATATTGTTGATGGACATTGTGGAGGAATGAAGATAACGAAGGGTGGAAAAATAATAATGGGGGATGAAGTGGTCAGGACTGAATAGAGTGGAATGAGGAGTAACGTGAGGGGAAGAGGGTGTCCTTATAGGTGATTTGAAATGTTGGTGGCTGGCAGCGTCGCTCCGTGGAGATCCCAACACCTTCCTTTCCTGGTAAATGAACCAACATCCGGCTGTATGTACCAATCTGGCTTGTAACCCTGTCAGGTTAAAGCATTGTGCCACCACACCAAATGCAGTCCCCAGTTAGTCTAATCCCAGTCTCCGTACCAGCTCGTTACTTGCAGCAAGCTGCCCTAATCACAGCGTCGCGCAGTCGCGAATCCAACTGCTTTTGCATATACGATCCTTGGCGCGGTGGCGCTAATAACCGCGCCGACCTTTCAAAAAAAAAAACGGTGTGCGCTCATCAGTGAGGTTAGATCGGCTATGATGCGAGAGGGCGATGTTCACACCAGTTCCCCCTCAACGTTTGCTTCCCAGAGCAAATGGAGGAATTGACTGAAGTGGTGCGTACAGGGTTGATGGGGTCGCCCTCTACTTCCTCTTGCACCACATCATATATTTGTTCGCGGTCACCCACATAAATCCGACCAACCACGCCCGATTGCGCTCACCCTCCTACTCCCCGAAATCAAACATGGCCCCGAGAGCCCCGAAGAACGATGTGCTAGGTACGCTCTCACTCGAGGAGCAAATAGCAGCATACCACCACTACCCGATAAAGAGAATCCGCGGGTTTGTCAATGGCAATATCAAAGCCCAATACCAGAAGAATGATCCTCAGCAACCAATTCCGCGAAAATAGCCTTTGCGGATGCGGCACCGAAACTTCAGTCTGGCATGCAAGAACTCGAAGACGATGTTGATAGGCTGAGAGGAACGCTCAAATTGGCCCAGAGGGCGACGCCCCTCGGTAAACACACTCTAATGAAAACAAAGATCCGCCAGGCACGCGAGAAGGCCCTGGGGTACAGCGACGAAAACTTCATGTGCGGCCGGGGCATCACAAAGTGGAGGCACGATTTCCCCGACGGGAACCTCCCATCGGATGACGAAGAGGAAGACGACGAAGATGAGGACGATGCCGAACAGGTCGATGTCAGGATGACGACTGGTACGATCGCTGGCAATATAACTGGCAATAAAGACCCCCAAATCGCGATCGCGAACTTGTGTGCCAAACGGGACGAAGCCGCACAGTGGGTGCACTCCCAGTGGCGTTTCTACCCGCTAGCAAAGAGGTTATGAGGAAAGGGGCGAACATCGCCCACATGCTCCACCGCGACTATCTAGCCTTGGCCTACAACCTTAAAGATCATGAATTCTCTTGTATCCCCAGAAAACAAATCGACAAAAGCGCCCCCCGTGAGTTTCAAGAGAAAGCCCAAAATGTTCAAACGAAGATCTCCTCCTCTTCGACATTGAGTCAAAAAGACATCCCCGAGGGCTCACGGCGGTTAAACGCTGACATACGCGCCTTCGTGGATTGGTCGCACGACAACCTCTCTGTCGCGGTGTTCGTCGAGGACGGCAAAACAAACTTCAAATTTATTCCGAGCGATCACTGCCCGGAAGAACCCCACGAGGGCGGGGAGGCCAATGTAGAACTTACAATGAGCCAATTGAGCCGGCTGGCAGATCAGCTCAAAAGCATCACGAAGGGCCCCATGCTCTCGAAACCAAAACCGTTCATGCTGTCATCACCGAGTTCGGGGGGGAAGGTGGTAGCATACCGAGATAGGCTGCTCGCGGTAGAGTCGAGCCCAGGCATATACCATCTAATGTCAATAAGCCAACACTTCCTCCACACCCCAGCTAGCCTGGCAGCCGAGCCGAATATAGTAAATGCGTCCTTGATATCGAACAGGATGCTCCATAGGGTCAAAGAAAGGTCCTCAACCGAAAAGATGGCCATCAAGACGCACTGCAAAGGCATCGTGGGTGTGGCCCACATGGGGTACCACACACTGAATACCGCCAGTGCCAGCAGGGCAATGCGTCGCATCGGCGATTGTCTTATCGAAGTCGCATGGTCAAGTACTATCCGCGAAGCGCTATCCGGGGGGGACGTCCAGGTGTCCGAAGACATGATATCGACGTGGGAGACTCGGACAGACTGGCGCGCATTCCGGTCGCAGAAGACCGCTGACCTCGAGATCTATCTTTTTGCCAAATCGAATGATGCCGGCCTGATCGAGCCAAATGAAGGCCTCACTCGCTCCAAGGCTGCCGGCCAAAGGTTAATCGAGAACAGGCAGATGGCTTTAAGGTTGGCAAAGCACGAGTCACAACGAATGGTAAAGCGTGGACAAGCTGGCGAGACGACGCACACCTATTCGGATTCGGAGGAAGAGAACGAAGACTCTGACCCCGAGGGAGTTGATTGAGTGAATGGCGGTGCGTAGTAAAAGGAGGTGGGCGCGATGACACAAGCCCTGGGACCCTTTGATCGTGCCATTTTCATGTTGACGTTTTCTTAGTTGTTACCTGTGTGGTGGTTTGGGTAGCCTTACGTTTGGATCCATGTTTTGTCTCTTTGTTTCATTTCTCTTCTCTTTCGCGGTACGGACATAGCTAGGTTTCAATTAAATTGATTATGGTTGAAAATATCGCGTAAACTAGAAAAGAGGGAACTTGACCACCAAGTCCCTAATGAATCAAACAAAAAAAAGACCAAGTCCCCGTTGAACCGTCGAGCCGTGCCCTGGGGAAATCTGATAGAAATAAGCTTTGCCAAGAAGTATGCCGACCCCTGTGGTGTGATCCACCGCACAGGATGTCATACCGCAAGGGTAAACACCCCACACTGTGTTTTAGCCCACGCGGACTAAAAACCCCTGGGGTTTTTAGTCCCTGCGGCTAAAGACACCGCGCGGGTATTCAACCAGCGCACGCGCAACAGACAGTAGCACAAGTATCCCCCGCCCATAGAAATTTTCTACTGATAAAACGATTGTTTAAATTCACCACGTTCCAACCCACCAAACATGACCCGTTTGCGATAGGGAGCCGCTCTCGATGGACTTATTGCGAATCATGAAATCAATAACAACCAGCTGTAAGACCACGAGGGAGGTCGGGGGGAGGTGCCTCCGGAAACCTCTGGGACCAACCGAGCCCCCGTCAGTGTTGCGAGACCCGTGTGGTTGCCTTAACCATGGTCTTTCCCCTTTGAATCGGAGCGGGGTTATTTACGATTGTGGGTTCCTTACCAAAGCGCCATTGATTTCTACTCGCGCACATTTCACCGATTGGGTGTGTGTGTATGTAATTATTTCATTTCTGATTCTAGGTACAGAATGGTCACATGCAGTATCAACTATGGCGATTGGGAGTCCGCGTATAATATAAGCTTGTATTAAAAAGAAAATCGGAGTCGCCACAGTACAAAAGAAGACAAAGTTCAAACCACCAGATCAACAAAAGGAAGCCGAGAACCGGAGTCGCCACAGTACAAAAGAAAGTTCAAACCATCGGATCAACAAAAGCCGCCAGGGCCACACGCATATACAATCTACAAACAAAAATAAATACCAACTACAATAACGATGCACCTAGACCAAACATTGAGACGCAATCCAGACGCAGATCCAATTTCCGGTGGTGCGGTGATGTTTGCGGATGGCAGTGTGGTGCTTAGGGATGGTGCAAGGCGGCAGGGGAAAGCCGAGTCGGATGGACTGGGCCAGACGACCCCTGGCTCCAAGCATGTCGGGACTGCCGCAGGTGTGCGGTTAGTGGGCGTTGCTGCATCTGTGAGCAGGCCCTCAGGCTTGTGCGAGAGCGTGGTGTTGCTGTAAAAAGTCCCATTCGTATCAGTGCTGTTCAGGACAGTACCTGTAGTGGCGGGATAAAGGTCGGTAGACGTCCAAGAAGGAGCGTAAGTCGCTGTTTGGTTGATAGATGTCCAAGAGGGAACGGAAGTCGCTGTTTGGTTGGATGGCATCGGACTGTGAGTCACTGGGGAATCAAGTGATACCCCCACGCTTGCACAATCATCAGTGACAAGGTACGCTTTATTACGAACAAGGATCCAGAGTACAAACCCAAGGGCCATTGAGGCATGTATCTCAATCCCGCTGCAGTGAGTTGCGAAGATGATTACAAGCGCACACATCAAGCGATAGGCCATTTTGAAATAAATGATATGTGTGCGAAGTGTACTTTGGATGATAGTCTTGGGGTGTGGTGCGGTGTGGTGAGATATGGAATTTAACAGACTTGAACGATTTAACCCGCGACAATTTATATAAAAACAAACTTGGCGCCAGGCCGACTTCCTGGCCCGCATCGCCTGTTGGTCCGAGGCGGCCAGGAACCTGGCGCCAGGCTGACTTCCTGGCCCGCATCGCCTGTTGGTCCGAGGCGGCCAGGAACCTGGCGCCGGGCCGACTTCCTGGCCCGCACCTGTTGGTCCGAGGCGGCCAGGAACTTGGCCTAGAGTGGGCCCGGAACCTAATCCAAAGCAAATAAAATTGATCGAGGAAGAGTCAAGCTGACCCGCCGGAATTTCTACACCCACTTGATCACCTCTGATCCTGTTAGACAAAGTTCCCGCCCTGTGATGGGGACATGTAGCGCATCATGAGCAAGCACTCGGTTCGATCATGAACACTCACTCGGTTTCTTTGGCAGTTCTTTTGTAGCCATCCTTTTTTTTTTACATGAGGGATAGCACGCACTGTCAATGGGCATTAGGCATAGTCCCAAGAACCCGATCTAAAAATTCGTCAATGTGCGTGTACTTTTCGAGTCCGCGTTTGTCACCGTGTCTGTCGTTATGTATACACACAGAGGAACGAATCAACATGGTCCAGAACGAGACCCGTGGCCACCAGGCGGCTGGGATTTACTAATGTGACATGGATTCAATTTTTACGTTTCTCAACAATGGAGGCGCCTATTTTATCACACAGTGTCTTGGTGACTACCGACTAGCGCCATGCGCCCCCTTTTTTTCGCACATATGTGTGTGATTCGATTGACTAATGGCGATCATCTAGCTACTAAGGGTAATCACGGGTAATCACAAATGCAGATCCATCTCAACACACACCGTTTTCAATATGCAGGTGATTACTTGTGTTATCTCTAATGATAGTGCTATGACAGGCGCTTCACAGTGCTCAACCGCGGTATATGTAGAGCGCAGCTCATCCACCTCCTAGAGTACATCAAAACCCAACCCGAACCAAAGACACAACTTTTACTTCTTGTGATAACGCACAACCTGACCTATACACCTTCAAAAAACCACTACTCATCAGCCATGGGCAAGGTTATTTTCACTACGCGCAAAGGCGCACCTGACTTCAATCTGCAACGGAAGTTCAATCGCCGGTGCCAAACACTCTTCACCAAGGCAAGCGAGCTGGTCTATCTCAGCCAGGCCGACGTTTATGTGGTAGTCCAGTTTCCTGGGGCTAGAACTAGGGCGAGAGTCTTTTTGTCCTCCGAAGGGTTTACACCACTGCCGCTTCCAGAGCTTGTATGAAGTCCATTTATTCAGAACAATCGCAGTTACTGACCACCACGTAGAAGAAGAAAAACCCACCCCCCGAGGTATATACCGCTGCTGGTAAAGATGGGTTGGCGCCGTCTGGGCAAGCCGAAAGTCGCGGTGGAAGCCGCTGTGGAAGCCGCAGTGGAACCCCAGATCCCTTGGGGTGGAGTCTGGCGCCGCCGCCAAGACTACCCTCCCCGCTGCCAATGACGGCCACCGCCTGTTCCTCTGACGGCACGTTTGCCACCAACCCGAGTAATTCACTGAGTTCTTAGGATTCAGTTCAGTTCGCGTTGGTCTTAATTTCAGTCTCGTGCAGCAACTCACTTCCCAATGAGGTTCCTTCTGGTTATCCACTGTCATCCTCCGATATTTCGGTGTGTTGCTGTCTCGTTATGCCCTCTGCTTTTGTTTTATTGGTCCCTTTTGGTTGTTCAAGTATCCGCCGTGTGCTGTGCCAGATTTATCTCTCTATGTCTTCGGCCTTGTTTTGTTTTGCTTTGTTATAGTCAGTTTTTTTTTTTTTTGGTTATGTTATTGGTCTATATAAAATTCTTATTTCGTCTATGTGCATGTTGTAACCAGTTCGTTGATATCAAACATGTATCTATTCTCTTCATCTATGGCGATATCGTTTTGTGCGAACCTCTCATAATGCACACATAGCTTGAACCAATTACGAACGTTGCCGGAGCAACGCGGTTTTCCGCAGAACTACCACGTAAGACGGGTCGCGCATCAGCATCGACGTAAAATATAAAAACTCGCCCCCACCATCGTCCTGCGACCTACAACATACAACGCAAAACTTTGCGCCAGAATTGTCCCTCCCTCTAAGAGTTTGGGTGTAACGTTTCCACTCTATATATTTTACATATACATAGATATATATATAAGATATAAAGACGTGTATGAGGATGTCCGCTCCACCCTCTCCTCCGCCGCCGACACCGCAAGCATCGCAAGATGTTCCGCCACAACTCGACCCCCTACAACCCGCCCCTCTCTCGTCAGAATCTCAAGGGGGCCAACCGTCATCGTCGCCACCGGATATATCGGCGCCGCGGGTACCTGCGTCTGATGGGGCTCCACCCCCATCAGACGAAGCCGTGAGGACCATCCCGCGTCCATCCTACCAAGAAAGACAAGAGCCAGGGTACTTCTTTAATCTTCTTGGAATAGGGAGATTGAGAGATGACAGGAAGCCGCTTCAGGATGGTAAATAAAAACCCACCATATGAGTTACGATCACGCCCGTCCCGCTAACGGCCCGTAGTTATAACGAAGGTGTGGAGGACCAGAACCGCATGGGCTACCACCCGGTCATCTTACCAAGAGCTTCCTGAGGAAGAAAGGATTACCGCGGAGGCCGATTTACAAGCCAGACTTCGAGAGCTCTACCCCGCCCCTAGCTATACTGCGAGCCAGATAGAGGCATGTAGTGAATGGTTGCCCGGTTTTCTGCTCGCCAAAAGACATAAAGATAGGAGAAGGGGCGCGGCCGCGCGGCGTCCAGTACAGCAAGATTAGTCGGCGTGAGCTACAGTAACAATATACCCAAATGTATTCTTTGGCCATTTGATCTGCCCTTTTTTCTCCTGCGTTGGTTATGTGATATCCAGGCAAGGTTTTGAACTAGATTATTTTGTTTTGTGTCGAGATTGCTACAACCTTGGTACAAAATGCGTTAGCGAGTTTATCGTATGCTTACAATAGTTGCAGTCGTTTGGTCGCATAACCCTATCTAAAGCTCCCATGAATAATTTATGTAGTAATATGAAAACATACTCGGTACACTTATTGATCCATAAAAGTAGAGGGTGTTTCAAAACTTCCTCTCAACCACAATGATGCCAAAATATTGCTAGGGCTGACTCTGTCCAAGTGTATACCGTGACATTATTTAAGCCCCTTTTAATAGCAGTTGGGTAGTTTTTGAGGAAAAAACAAATCGGTATGGGAGGTTATTACGCGAGAGTTAGAATAAGTCCGTTCCAACTGCCTTCGATAAAGACTGTGCGCAAAGTCCCTAAGAACAGTGTTCGCTACCTGTCCAGAAAGTATTGAAACGAACCAAAAGCTATACAGCCGACTGTAACTCCAGAAATAATGACCGACACGGAAGTGCGGCCGGCTGTGCGGGCAGATAACTGCGGACCGAAATTGTTCCGCCGGAAGGGGATGGGCGGTGTCCCGGCGGCTAACGTCGCCGCCGGTTTTGACGGATCAATAATCATGCTCCGTTCACGGCGGGCGCATAATTGGTAACTATCTTCATGTGCTGTATGCTTGGGAGATTAACCGCCGGAACATCAGGCAGTGTCTTCGTGCGCCATACTTTATGTGACGTGGCCCATGACGCCTGCAATATGCGCCTTAAATGAAACCGCAACAACCCTCCGCTACGCCTGTATCATGCGACTTCAGCAGGCCGTCTCTTCATGCGCCTGGAACCGGAACAGGCATACATTATCTACATACATCTAACTACAGACATATCGGCCTAACATTCGTCCATTCATCCATACTTCAATTACGTCGACATTCATCCTGCCATAAAAATAGGTGCCAAGACCCGCCTGGATTGGGCTAAAGGGACTTTTTCTACATCCGAGCGATTTACTCAACCAGAAGTTTTAAAGACTAAGTGGTCAAAGTTGGGACGTCTCAAAAGTTCCCACCGTACGACATGTGTCATGCGCCTTCGTCACGCCCTAGTCTCGAGGCGGTTTGAATGTCGGCTATGGCGGGACTTTGCGCAGATGGAGGCAGCTCTGATTACCGGCAGGCTTTAGGATCGCCGCGAATCAAGTTACCAAAAAATGGAGTTGGCTCCATGTGACATGTGGTACTTTATCAACGCTACTGAGTTTAGAGCAGAGGCATCCGGAGTAATGTTCTGGCGCTAATGCACGGACCCACTGTTTCGCGCGACTAGGATATAGATTGCCAGATTTCGCTAACGCGGTGCCTATAACGCCCAAGCGATATGACTTGAGCTCGCTCTTGATTCTATTTGCACTAGTTTTGTAATCTGTCGTACATTTAACAGGCAAGTCTCAAATCGAGGGAGTACCACCAATAGATGAAAAAAATGATATTGAGAATCATACTAATTACAGGTAGTTACAGGTGAGCAGGCGGACACACACAGACGTATTACATATTTCAAAAACTCGATAAATTGAGTATCTCTGAGCAGGGATAACCACTACAGTAACTTGGAAACGGCGCATACAGCAGCCAGCAGAATTGCCAGGAGAGAGAAAAAATGACTGGGGTTCCTTATTCCGAAGGTTCAAAATCGAGCTCCTTGAGGACCACACCGCCTCCCAAACTTGCTCCGATGCGCGTTCTGATGTCCCGTTTTGTATCGTTCTTTGCGCACACTTGCGGGAAGTTAATATCCCCTATTGAGGGTAGATTCGGGTTATGGCCCGCTTAACGTACCTGTGATAATGATATCGCCAACCCGGTTCGTCACTTCCTGCATCAAAAGGCCGGAGAAGTCGGCGTCTTTCCAGTACACTCGCAGTGAATTGTGCCTCCCAGGACTATCGTTCCTCTCTCTTGGGGGGGTACTTTTTGTAATAAATATTGATATAGATAAAATCTGAAATTGTTAATGTATATCAATAGGAAATATGGGGGAGTTTCACCTACATGATCAAGGTCCGCTTTCATCAATTCAGCCATCCATCGGGAAACCCAGTGTCTGTGGCCTGAAAAACCAAAAGAAACACGTCAGCACCAACAATAACTGGGCAGGTATGCCAGGGGCGGGGGAACGAGAGTGTTCTTGTGTGCGTGTGTGTACTACCTTCCATCTGCACCTCCCAGAAAAGCTTTATTTTTTGGGTTGTAACACTACGACTATGGTGCGCATCAAGCAGATGCTTGATATACGGAAGTTGGCTGGCTATGCCAAGTCCAGTGGCCACCATCAAGACAGTCCCATAAGATCCAAGTTTCAGATCAGAAAGACCGTAAGGGCCTTCGACAATCGTCCTTAGTGTAGTCGCCATCATTATTGGATCCTCCGTAGACTCTCCCCTACTCATCCATGCAGAGCGGTGATGAAGAAGATTGCGGGTGAAGCCCTTTCCAGGCCTGACCAGGAAGAAGGCCCTCGAAAGTGGCTGATCCCACCAAACTAGTTGAAATGGATGAGATTGCAAAACGGCGCTAGAGCTAATTGAAGGGATCGTGATATACATAAATTGGCCCGGTTGAAACTTGAACCAGGGATTTCTGAAGTCGACAACTATCTGGACAATTCCATCATCCTTTTCGTGGCCGATGACGTAGGCACGTGCCCCGAGACTGCTAAAGATAGACCTAACCACTCGAAAAACAATGAGCGCTGCCCAGAGAGCGACTATCACAAATACGCAGATGCTGGGGCCGGTGCGGAGAAGCGGAATACGAGTGATCTGCACATGTAGGCTCAAGCTGACAAGAACTAGAAGCGCCACAAGCACATGCAGCGCACGAAATGCCTCGAACGCCAGGCTACGACAAAACTTGGCCATGAAGACGCAGAGAAAAGTGATACCGCCCACCGCAAGATACCCCGTGAAACTTCTTTGGTTCTGGTTCATGGAGATACCAATAGCGGTGTGTATTACGGATTGTACGAGCACCATGTACCCTATCACAGTATGCAGGCGCTCCTGTGTGCGCTGGGAAATCATGTAGCTGTTGACAAGGCTGTTAGGTCTTCCGACCAAGACCAAAGGGGCCATATTAATCAAAGCGAGAAATCCAGCTCGGCTCTGTATTCCCTTGCGGGTAAGGTCTTCAACGAAGACGGCGATAATATTCCCGATGATATACACAAGATATAGGAGGGCCTCTGTGCGAGTGACGTTGGTGTTCCCTCTTAGCAGCTGGGGAGTCTGGCGTGCTAGGTGATTGTATGCGGTGGAGATGAAGGCTTTGTAGACACTCAGGACAGTGGCGAGCCCAGCCGTGAAGAACACCCATAGTAAGAAAACACACCCAATTGAAATAACGTAGACTGTTGTTGCGTACATGATTTATGTATCTTTAAACTTCAAACGGGGAAACCGATGTGTATTTAAACCGATGTGTATTTGTGCGGTAATCTTGCACCTAAAATTGGAAGCCAAGGAGCCGCGGGTGTGCACGCTAGACGCGCGCGGTTATCGACCTAAATTCCGATGGGTTGCATAGAGACGGGAGGAAGGATTGTTTGATTCTGGAGCTCACAGAATTGGTTAAGTCAACCAAGGAAACAATTTGACCGCCCAGTTGGCCGTCAACTCATGGATCTCTTTACCACGATTCCTGATACATTGGATATCCAAATTCCGGCCACTAAATCTTGCATCCAATGATCGAATGGCTATTTCCGAAAGACGCTCTTTCTATCGCTAGAATCTCGGAATAGCGAACATAGTTTGTTACGAAACGAGCTACCTGGCCCCGTTCCCAAATAGAGTTTATTATAAAAACCCCTCGCCCGGTGGTATATCGGTCGCGTTATGCTAGGCTCAGGACCACCTGAAAAAAACACACACACAATGTCCAGCCACGAGAGCGAAAGACGCAAGACGGCCTGGTCCGACATGTTCGGGCGAGGTTCACCGTCTTCGCAATCTCTCTTACCTCCTCCATCTCCAACGCCTCCCCCATTGGCCCTTGGATCATCGTCGTCGTCGTCGTCGTCGTCGTCGTCGTCGTCGTCCTCCTCCCCCTCATCTTTTGATCTTTATCAGAGGGTCTTCACCCTCAAGCTCGATGGTATCACCACCTTTGCCAAATCGCGGGATGGGGACGTTATAGCCATCAGGCAATACAAAACGGGCTACAACTTAAACGTTCTAGACATCGTAATTGCGAATACCGACCCATGTGTTGTCTTCCACCACGAATACAGACTGACACCCGAGGGTCCGGTGGTCTTTCTCGAGCCGATGGACACTACTCTCGGACAAGTGATTTCCGCACTCCTTCGACTCGAGGTCCCCCAAATAGCGACCGTAGCTGGTGAGATTCTAAAAGGGCTCGAATATTTGCAGCATCATGGCATTGTCCACAGTAACCTTAACCCCACGAACATCTTGCTCAATTATGACGGAGAAGTTAAGATCGCCGACTTTTCTCGTTCCGAACAAATGAGGACCAATGACGATCTCAAGAGCCTCGGCAACATATTTATTGAGATGGTCGAACCTGGTGCCCATTTGCTCGCCTTGACCAGAGATACTGATGTTATGCAAAGAAACACATCTCTATATACACCAGAGATGTCCGAATTTTTGTCCGCAACAGGGGGTTCAATGACGGCATCGGAGGTCAGGGAGGTAAATCCCACCCTCCCCTATCTCGCCACAAACAAACGTGTTAACATCAAAGTAGATAAAGTTTCTCGAGAATGCGCGTGGGCTACGGATATTACAGCCTAATATCAGGTTCAGCTTGTCCTGTGTAGCCAAGTCGTGGACAGTTGTCGGGCGGCGCTCCATCAACGGGTAGTATCTTTTTCCGGGTGGTGCTTAAGGAGGGGGAGGCAAAGTGTTTTTCTCGCAGCGTTAAAGTAAAAGTTTGTTGTCAGAATAAATTATCTCATTCGTGGCGATCGCTCGGCATCAAATTAACACTCCACTCACGTGACATACAATCAAGCTAGCTACCCACACGTGACAGAAATCGAGGTAATTACCCTGCCACTTCACCTACACGAAACCTCAAAAAAAAAAGCGTAGAACCACACTACTCTGCCTCCCCATCCATCACCCAGTCATTACTGGTGCGGCTAATGACTTCCCCCACAGTATCCCTCGCCCAAGAGCTGAAATCACCTAAATATGTTTGAAGATTCTGGCTCCAAACTGTAACCTGCGTTACTTCCCTCTCGAGATTGGCTACCCTGTATATTGACTTGAGTGTTAGGTCGACCCATTAATAGAAAGGGAAAAAGAGCCTGCGGTAATAACATACCTGCTCTGGAGCGTGATGTCTACCGTAACTTCCCTCTCGAGGTTGGCAACCCTGTATATTGATTTGAGCATCAGACCGAGCCATCGATACAAAGAGAAAAAGGAGCCTGATGGTGATATATACCGGTTTTGGAGCGCAATATTTTGCTCTTTCAAGGCCTCAATCTCCTTCTCAGCCTGAACCAGCTTCTCTACCCGCGCGAATTCGGCCGACTCATTGACGGGCAATGTTCTGAGTAACGCGTACTCCTTGGTTGGGTCCTGAGTGCCAGTCGTCGGGGTGTTTGCCGAAGACCCTCCCCCAAAACAAGGGCTGAGTCGTGATATGGTGACGGTTGGCGAGTATTTGAACCCTTCGCTGGCTTCAAAGAACCGATCCCACTCTTCAGAGGTGAAAAGATTGAAGTCGATGGGAGATATCCTGCTCGGCGAGATCATGGTGGTTACGCTCATGGCGTGCTGGTTCGCACTCCTAGCACCTGGGCCACCGCCGGTATTGGAGCATGTTGTGTTCACGGTGTTCATTGCAGTTGTCCTCGTGCTCATGTCACCGGGGTTTTTGAAGTTTCCCAGGTTGTCAGGTTTGCTGGTGTTACTGGAGCTCATGTTTGCGATTGTTAAATATTATTGGTGAGAGTGGCCTACCTGAGCGGGGTGGGCGTGTCTTTATCGGTTCTTGAGGGCGCTAAAGCGGGGATCGACTCATGACGGGTTCGTAAAGGACAGTGTAAGGGTGATAATAAAAGTGGCAACGGGGCTCGTGCCCATCACTAGTTCAACTCAGACCCTAGACCCAACTTCAGAGTCGCTTCAACGATTTCCTTTTCTTCCTCACAGACCTCATCTCCCCCGCCATACGCGCCCCGTCATCGATCAGAAAGATGGACATAAGCACTCCATGGTCCAGAACAGAGACATTTCTCTTGCTTTTTTATCGTCTAGAAGGCTTGCCGTACAAAACGATTCGGTGCATATTCAATCACAAACTTGGAAGAATAGACTCAACCGTTAGCTTGCGTTGTCATGTCAACAACTTGCGACGAATTTATGAATTAGAGGACATGGAGCTGGGCCGAGAGCTCGACAGGGGCAAGACCGAGGTTGAGCTCTATACATGCATCCTGAAATGTTACAGTCGCTAATAGTTTTTAGCGGTTTATGCGCAGTTTAATCCTTCTCGATGGAGAGGGGGTCAACGACTCGCTTCTTGTAGTCGGCAGGGGGTTGGATGAGGAGGAGCTTCGTATCAAAGACACTGTGCTTGCGGGTCATGCGCGAGGAGAAATTTAGATCTTTCTATTTAACGAATATAAACCTTAAAAATTGGATTATGTACATGAGATCACGAAATAAGTTCCCCATTCTCCTCCATAACACAAACATGAATATCAGGGTGCAAACGGTATAGTGCATCCCCTATGTCACCAGCGGGAACCAACTGCCCACTATGATCGTCCTCGAAAACCCGCGCCTCCCAGTCGATCAGAGAACAGATAAGATCATTTAGTGCGCAACGGCGAATCACTTCCTTCACTAATACAAGTGGCGCGGTATGATAATACACGGAGATAGTCCATTCTGTGTCGTCATGGGGCCCCAACCCAACCCGCCTTTTTTTGTTGGCGCCATCCGACGAAGAACGGGGCCGTCTACGACTCCTTCCCGGGCCGGGTGACAAGGGCGGAGGAGATTGCCCTTCGGGGAGGAGGGAGGAGGAGGAGGAGTGGACTCGGCCTCGTGTGTGGGGGGGGGATGGCCCTCGGGAGCAGGAGGGGGCTGGCCCTCTACCGAGAGGGGAGACTCGGCCTCGCTCGGGGGGGGCAGGTCTGGATCTTGGGGAGTTGACTGAGAACGCCGGGACAGGTCAAATACTCTTTGTTCGAATATAGAGCCACCTCCCACAAAGAACGCGATGAACCATGATCTTCGGCAAAAGAACGTCGTGATATCGTTATCTCGCTCTAGGGGCAGGGGCCCAAGCATGTTTTCCAATGTATAGTTGTCAGCATCACGCTCATGGTCATTCTCGAAAGGGCGGCCGGTTCTCCTTGTGACCTCCACCGGATTTTCGCCGGTCAGGGCGGGCTTCCTTGTAGACGGGGCACGTTTTTGAAACCTGCACAAGCTTTCACTGAGATTCCGGATTTCCTCCTCAAAGACTCCGTTATCGTACACGTACACATCACGAGGCCTAAACTTCGAAAAGAACTCTCGCGCGACAATGATTTCGGGGGTTGATTCTATGTACTTGTCGATTTGACCGGAGCTGAACCCAAGCTCATCAGCAATCCGCGCAAATTCTGCCAGAATATGAAGATTTTGTTCGCATATTGGCTTGGGACGATTGGCGTTCTTTCGGAGCGTGATAGCGGTGGACAACTTATGAAAGTTTATCATGCTAAATAACCATAACTCCCAGTAAGATTCCTCGAATGCATGCTGATCGCCAACGAACATACGCTCGAAAGATTGTCGTACAGTTAGTTTTGTGGGACCGGCTAAGAGTTTCATCGGGCCGGCCACTGCCTCGAGGTATTTCAGATCCTGAAAGAGCGAGTGCAGTGTGGGAATTCTGTCGTTGGCCCTTCGGATATTCTCGTATATCGCGTCCTTGCCACCATTGTGAGGTACATCGCACAAACGAGTGAGAACGTCCCGGTCGACATCGGAGATGGCAGGGGCACGTAATTCCATCGTGTCCGCCAACTCGCGATCGACCAGTAGGTGATTGGCACCGGCCAATTCACCCCAAGCTACAGACACCCAATCGAGATAACGGGCTACTTCCTGGCATAAGAGACGAATTAGATAACGCAAGACATATGGCCGGATAGAATAAAATCCCGAGAACCCACCTCGTCACATTTCAGCGGGAGGAGTTTGTGCAAAGCACCAAGCTGCACCGCAGGCCACAACCCAGGTATGTCCAGCAGTTTGTCGAAGCCGACACGGAATCTCGCACTGCGCAAAAGCTGTTTTAAGTCCCGGGATTTCGAGCGACTAAGCCTTGACCACCAGAATTGTTGTTTAAATAGATCGTTTTCTCTGGAACTCAAACGTATATTTCGAAATATCTCCCCATCAGTGATATTGGCCGAATTGGCATATTGGTGCTGTAGATAGTATAAATCTTCGTCCGAAGCAAACTCTGCGCGCGGTTAGACTATGGGCTAAGGGTGGTCTGCGCGTTCAATTTTTCACTACCTTCAATATAGATGTCAACTCCCCACCAACGATCCATTTGTGGGATGATGTCTTTGGCGGCCATCAGGCGATGATGACCATGAAGATACTGGACCGACCCCTTGGGCATGGGGAGTTGATGATACGGAGGATCGCCGTTAATGTCATCCTTCCCAATGCCCGCTTTCTCGAGTGCAGATGTCAAAGCCGTTGCAGTGAGTAAGATGGGGATACGATTGAGAGGGTTTTCCCTAGAAAGTACACCATCTGTTCGAAAGATCGTCTTTAATCTCTCGATATTTTTAATGCTTAATTCCCGTGCCAAATATTTTGGAGAAGCTGCAAACGATTCAAACCGAAGCCGTACGACACCCGCGTAGAAGGATTTCCCGCCTTGTTGGGCAGCCTCGTGCGCCGAAAACCTATGTGCCATTGTCGTTGTGGTGTCTGAATGTGTAGGTAGATGATAATCCCCTGGGGGCTATTTAACCGTAGGGGGCAGAGCGTTTAGTCATTATTTCGGCAATCTTCAATTGTCTCGGCAACCAAGCTAACCGGCCAAGCACGCTTTCATCACCTGGTCCCGGGTTCCTGGTTCCTGGTTTCCTGGTTTCCTGGGTTCCTGGTTCCTGGTTCCTGGTTCCTGGGTTAAGCGAGTCAGGATCCTTGCTAATCGGAACCGGGCCCACACACGCTAGTGGATACCGCGCCTATAATTAAAACGGTGGTGTTCTCTCTCCTCAACACAGATAACCAAACTCATCATGGCGTGTGACCATCACTCGTGGTTTGATCTTTCGGCAGGCCCGCATAACACACACACCCTCATCCATTCACATCGCATCACAGACCTCATAAATACGAAACAATTACCACACCCTAACAACATTCAGTTACCAGACATGATCATCTTTGTTGGAGGCGTTGCTAAAGAACGCCTCCTGCGAGGTATCGTCGGGAAATCATTCAAACCCCGAAGGACTGAGTTGTCATCCATGTGCAAGCTACATGCTGACCCCCGCACAGCCGGAGACCCACATCCGTTACTAATAGCCGATTGTATTGTACCTGGGAAATATTATCCGGGCGCGGTTAATGCGACTGCCTCTAAGTGTCATGAAACCACCATCATGACTATGATATCTCACGAAGAGATTGGAAGACTTAGAACAAGCCTATTTGCGCGCGTATTGGGACCATTCTCCAGTATCCTATGCGTTTTCTCGGCCGACTTCGGCGGGCTCACCGGGGTGTGCCGGTTTATTGAGTCCTGGATGCTTGCAGCAAACAAATCATCAACTCACTCAGATATATGCAGGCCAAGGTTACTTATTATAGAGCAAAGAGATGAGAGAGGATTTTTAAAGCCTCGATGGGATCAATCAGCGGTGCAACGCCTCCGCCAAGGTCTGTCACTCGATAGTTGTAGCTTGGAGTCAATGTTTTTGTCTATCAACATTCTATGTATACCTTTCGCATACAGTCAAGTCTCTATCCTCCAATATATTAGCCCCCTGTTGCAAGAGACTAGGAAAATACGGGAGGTCGGTCGTTGCCAGTTTAGTTTGCTCCATTTAGACGCTTACCTGAACGCCGCGTGCCGGCATTGGGTTCATCACCGAGACATTCCCTTTAACTTTGTCAAGGCAACACATCACATGAACCCTGTCTCGGTTCACCCCTCCGAACATCTCGAGAGGTTCCTGATATCTTCGGGCGATCAAGGTGGTGGTGTTGATGTTGTAACCGTCGCAGCTACATGGCCCGACAGTTGGTCCCTACACCTCTTCACCAACTATACGAGATCTCATCCCAGTCACTTAGCGGGTGGTTCAGATACCGGGATGAGGGAAGCGTATGTCTTCCCCCGCCTTCCAAACTCGAACTCGAACGGCAAGCGTTGCATTATTTGGGGCCCTGTGCGTGACAACCACCCCAACGTCAGTCTTCCCCCCCCCCACGCTAATCTAATCTAATTCATTGAACCTAGATCAGTTACATGGCCACTTATGTGTACGATCGCCTGAGAGCTCCAACTTGGGCGATAATTATCGCCTAAGGATATGCCGCAGGTAGGCGAACATCATTTCGTGCGATATCGCTGTGTCGATAGTACCCACACTAATAAAAATCATAGAGACAATAACAGATAGTGTTTCGACCGGGGGGAACTAGGGACGACGGCGATCGATTCGGCCTGGTTCATAACGGAGGACAAAACACCTGCGACGAGATCAGGGCACGTGTTGTGGGCATGAAGGGAAGAACATGGCGGTTTGGAAGTCACAAGAGTAAGATATCAATGTAGGCTGGCATAACGAATATTTATTTCATAGCCTGATTGCAAATATAAATCGAAATTGTTGCTATTAAACGAGTGATGGTCAAAAACACAAGGCAAGAGAGATAGAGACAGTAGGACAAACAGAAAACTGATGAAGAATACAGGAAGAGACTGGTAAAGATAAGTGACATAGCAATGGGACACTAAACAATATGCAAAGCAGCGACAGTTAATGAACGTGAAGATAAAAAAATACAGATTTATGAATGACGGCCATGCGCGGCAAATGTTAACATAAGAAACTATGATTCCAATATGCCCGGCGGGAAATGTGACGAACGCACAACCGTGGATTTCACATGGCGCCTTCTTCCTCAAGTTGGGTATCACTGAGGACGAACAAACCAGAATATCAGTACTATAAATATAAGGCAAAGTAATTTACATACCATTGAGAAAAATTCTGCAAAACGGCGTCGAGATCTGCAGGAGTTGCCACCGCATGACGGAGGTGGGTGGGCTCATGGGCCGTAGCGGAAGGAGTGTGGGGTCTGCTACAGGTAGGCGTAGAATGGGGGACATTGGAGCCCATTTCGTCGCGGTGCGAACTGTAATAATTAGGAAAGAACAAATAGACAGATGTTTTGAGGAACCAACGAGATATTCACGGCATTCACCGGGTTGACAGACGTGGGTGCCCCATTGGCATTTGGCGGAGCCTTGTGAGCAACCATATCCTTGATCAAGAGCATTTGGGTTTCCCTATGTTCACCTAAGATGAATAAATGTGCAAACGGTGAACTTGAAGAGGCTTACAATGAGAATAGACGATCAGACATCGCGATACAGGTGGTAGCCAACGAGTGCATGTTATCATGGAACTCGCCTCCAGGGCACGGAGACAGACCACCGAGAGAAACGGTGGGACTTTGCGTGGCTTGGGGCTTTGCTTGTTGGGCTTCAAGCGCCGCAGTGCTATTACAAGAACATATATAGTATTAGCTATATATCTAGGATTAAATCGAACATTCATGGAGGACGTGACTTACAGGGCATCAATGCGACCAGAGAATCGATCAAGAGAGGTCGTCAAAAGGGCAGTAATTCGCAGAATGCCTGTGTGTGTTTCTGCTGGCGGCGCAACACGATACTCCAGCGGTTCAAAAGCAACAGGTTCTCTAACATGATCACGACATTGTGCCGCAATCATCCGACTCAGCTTTGCTTCATCGTGGCTGGCAGGGACGTTAGTTAACGATATCTTTATAAAAATATTAAAGAAGGTAAACTAACGTTTTTTGAAGGGTTGCGTCGTGTTCCGCGAGTTCAGACTTCAAATCAGTAGTACGTTTGAGAATGTCGCCGATGAGGACTGAGTTCCCAATGATGGCGTCATTTGTTGCTTTTAATGTTGAAAGCAAACCATTGACATCGGCGGAGACAGACTGAAGAAGGTTGAAGGTGGTTTCGGTGTTTGCTAAAACTGACGTGTTTTCCGAGTTATGTGGGACATCCATTTGGTCGGCAACGGATATGTGGTTATGATGGCTAAACATTTTATCTATTAGCGATGCGAGCCGTGTTATAAGTGCCACAAGAAAGAGAGAGAAACATACAAGTCAGGACTTTGTTGGTTGAGGGAGACAGCGTATTCCTGAAGACAAGAGATAATTCTTTCAGTGTTCATACGAGCAACCAGAATGTCGTCTTTATAGGTTTGGTCCAAGAGTGTGTCCCCACAACAGCTGCCCTTGCTTTCGGCTAGACATCTCTCCTTGTAGTCGGTGAAAAACTCCGCCCTATCACCGGTTAATGCCGCCTTCGCTGAAATGTGATAAGACATACATACAAGTCGAAATTTTGCTTCAATGCTTGGTCCGAGGTTTCCTTATACTTCCTGAGTTGGGGTCCCAAATGTTCCTTGAGAAGCTCAATCATTTCTTCAATACCGATATATGTGTTGGGTGCGGGTTGGCTAAACATGCTGTTGGAGAAAGACATCAGTGCAATATAAATGGAGATGTGTAAAGGGTACTAATATGAATATACTTTGAAGGCGAATGTCGTAGCCAGAAAGCTGGATAACGGGTTCTTTGTAAAGGCTTATATGACATCTCGATAGTCAAATCACAACACATTGAAGCCTCAGCATAATCGTGCTCACTGGGTCTCTCAATGTGGAGTGTGTAATATCACCAACAGCCAGGCTCATGACGCATGACACAAGACGCAAGGCGCATGAAGAACCGCTTCCCCGTGCCGTGCTGACGGACGATCCATCCCCTTTCGAGCGCATGATACAGGTTCCCAGGCGTATGAAGAGACGGCCTGATGTTACGCCGTGCCGTGTTGTCCGTCGAAAGTGTAATGGCGCATGACACAAGACGCAAGGCGCATGAAGAACCGCTTCCCGTGCCGTGCTGACGGACGATCGACCCCTTTCGAGCGCATGATACAGATGCCCAGGCGCATGAGAGACGGCTTGATGTTACGCCGTGCCGTGTTGTCCGTCGAAAGCGTAATAGCGCATGACACAGGACGCAAGGCGCATGAAGAACCGCCTCCCCGTGCCGTGCTGACGGACGATCGATCCCCTTTCGAGCGCATGATACAGGTGCCCAGGCGCATGAAGAGGCGGCCTAATGTTACGCCGTGCCGTGTTGTCCGTCGAAAGTGTAATGGCGCATGACACAGGATGCAAGGCGCATGAAGTACACCAATCATGGCAAAGCACTCGATCCACTCCCACGCCACGTTTTAATTTTTTTCTTTTGGAGAGACTGGGCTTCCGCAATCTAATTTTCTTTAGTGTCATAATTCTGCTGGTAGGGTCGGTAGCCAGGAACGACGTAATTAGAAAACTTTCGACCAATCATCATCTATCACTCGGGATGTATCGTCTAGCGCCCACTCGCCCGCCGTACCCAACCCCGGGTCGGGCGTTATTCTCTATGCGTTCTATATCGAGTGAACATAGTGTTAACATTTCAATTCATTATTTTGTATTGCATGTTAAGTCAAAATTCAGATGCCAAGGTACGCGCCAAGTTTATCCTGTTCAAGCAAGTTGCAAGGGTGACATGGATTTGCCACGACATACTTTACTCTACATAAGTACTTTACATATACTCTACGTATGCTCAGCTGCAGTCGATGTAGTTCGTTAAATTCCTACTTCGGCCGAGAACCAAAAAAGCTCGTATTGTCTAGGTCGACTAATCATGCCCCTTCCTTTTCTTATTTACCAAGTCACGGACGGGCAGCCTTGAAAAGATCTTCTGAGCATAAAAGTCATGAAAGCCCTGTGGTTAAGGCTGAGTTTACTGGTGACTGATAGGGCTCATGACAAGCACTAGCTAGAGGGTCCGGTAGGGCCACTAAGGCTCATGGAGTTGGCGTCACAGCGGTAAAATACTGTGCCTGCATGTATGGCGCGAGAAGGCATAGGGGTGGGTGTCAACTTCAGAGGAACTTTTTTTGTATGGGAATTAGAGAAAATTCCACCGTTGGGCTAGGCGCTAGAGCACCATTATGGAGTAGATCTCCCAATTCCTATAGATTGATTGGCTGCAAACGCCGAAGTCTACACACCTACGACCCACCATAGCTTCTCGAGCCATAGTAGTAGTGGTCATGCGGGTTCTTACAATATTTACACGTATACACCTACATGTAGTTGTTTGAATTAACAGACTGTCGTAGCCTGACCCTCCGAGAGTACATAGTCATGGACCACACAAGAAAGTTAATGATAGAGACTTCAACGTACCAATCTCGCTATGGTACAGTTTTCTTGAAATTACCGAGGCCAAACATGGAACAGGCACTTGTAATTATATATATGTATATACTCTACATATGTACTATGTACCTTTGAAATGATAAAAACACTAATAAACAGACATACCACTACTCTATTAGTCTACATGTATGCATGGCAAACGGATGTCTGTACCCGTTTACCACGAAAAGAACCAGAAAATGCAGTTGCTCAGGGCAAGGATTATTTGTATGGGGTGGCGGTGATCTCTCATACAAATCATTACTGTTTCCGTCACTTGCATTTTTTGGTTCTTACCCTGGTATACGAGTATATACCACTGTCATGGGTACAGTACATGTATCCACATTAGAGATTTTGTAACTTATGGGGTAAATAGACAACATGGTTATGCACTTCTTTAATCCAGCCTTGATATTACCTTATACCCCAAATAGATATTAACAGAGCTACTACATGTATTAACAGAACTACTACTTGTGAGCCGCCATGCACGCCATATTCCAGCTCCACCCATTCCGGCCCCAACGGCAAGATTTGCAGAACCCGGGATACCAACGGGCACTAGAACACCAGATTGGGCAACGACACTCCAGCCGCCACGAATAGAAAATCACCCCCTTAAGAGGTAGTTTGTTAAATATCGCCCTGTCGTCCTAGGATCATAGTAGAGGATGTAGAGCTCAAGTTGATACGTAGGGCTAGGGCTCGCACTAATACCTATCCATGCCGAGATATGTTGTCGGGGGCTGAGACATGTGAAACCCGGTCGCGCTGGCTCCCAAATTTCGAGTTTTCGGTTTGGGTAATCATAGAGCTTTTCCGCTTTAGAAACCCCCAAATGTCTGCTCATGAATGATCACGGTACTCGACCGGTGAAAAACAGATTTTCATGGGGCTGGGGGAAAACCAACGCCAGGTCAACTAGCAAACAACGTAGCGGCGGCGATCGAGGAGGTAATTTGGGAGAAGGAAAGGTTGCGGCGGTACACGTAGATATATGGAGTGGCATGAAGTTCCCCACACCGCTGGCCGCCGCTAAATTGTGACAAAAAAGAAAGATTTGAAGAACCGATACTATGGTGAGATAACTGCCGTCCGCCTCACCGCATGGGTTAGATGGCAGCTATAAAGGCGATCAGCGCGCCAGATAGGCAGCCACCACAAAGAGAGGGAATAGTGGTGCCTGCCATTGGTTTTCCATATGGGCTTTGCAAATAGTCACCTATGCGGAGATCGACGAATCTACTTGACTTCGGAGGGGGCCATTTGTTTGCAAGAGTTGTTTCTCGAAGAGCTCAATTTTGCAGCAATGAGTCGAAGAACTTAGTGAGGCTGTCATGAGAGGAAGGGAGAGTAGTTACGGGGAAAGGGGATCATTCAGCTCGAACATCCCTACGTCAGTTGCCAGTCATTTTATATGTGCTCCTTTGGTCTTCGAATAATAATTTGTTTTTCTTAGAAACACACATATTCTACCATCTACACCCACACCTAGCGAAGTTTGAAAACAGACTGGACAGCACATGTTGGAAATCGAAGATCACAATCAGGATCACCAGTTTCAAGACCAAATAAAAGGAATAATAAGGATTGCCAAGATAGTAATGGGGAAGTCATCGCAGCTGATCCGGTGAGGGCTCAAGATGCTTCAGAAGTCCGGAGGAACAGTTGAAAACTGCGGTCTCAAGACTCGAAAGACGTGTTTTACTTCCACACGCCTGGTCCCTGGATTCCATGAGGCTCGGGTATTCAGAGTTCTTACGTAAGGTAGAGGGGTAGACAGGTCGGTCGCACAAATGACGATGTTTTCATGCATGGCTGCTGCAGTAGGATCCTGTGACTTGTGAGTACTCTAAATGCCCTAAACCGGAAGGGGGCCGAACAAAAAGGTCACGATTCACTCTCAGGTGTAGAGTACTTTTTCATGCGCGTATGCAGTGATATGGGCACGGGGGGTTCTAGCGGCGTGGGTTTGGCAGCAAAGGTATGAATAACTGTGGAGATGAGAACCAGAGATTCATAGTTTTGTTCCCCTCTCAACGGCAGCGTTCCGTTCCGTGGCCACCTTAATTGTTGGGCCACTGTTGGACATACTTCTCTAAGAAAGTAATCAATTGTTTCGCCAGCCATAAGAACCTTCAGGTCTACCGAGATCCAATTTTCAAGGGTTTAAACGGGAACTAGTTATGGGAGGCGGGTTTAAACCCTGGCTCGGGTTAGATAGATTGTTGAACCAGAACGGCGACAACTAACGTTAAAATTGATAAAAGTTGTATTTGGCATTGGGAGAAACATAGTTAAATTGGATGGAATGATCAAGCAATAGTAAGTACTGTACTTCTACCGTACAGTATATGCGAGTAGGCAGGTCCAGGCTGTGAACAAATTCAGGCACCCTTGATGACGAAGGGAGAGGGAGGAGAGAATGAAGAGGAGGCGAATGTAAGACATGCGGGGCGGGCGGGGGAAAGAATGGGGGGTTACAAATTTGTTGAAAGGGAGGAAGCCGAGAGGGCTTTGATGAGTCGAGTGTCGTCAGAGCGTGATAAAGATTAGGATAAAGTGTATTTCAACCACCGGGGGGAGGGAGGGTGCGAGAAAGCAAGCACCACTGCATATCGGTGTGAAAGAAACGAATTCCCATGGCTACATGTAGGGTTCTAAGTAGACTCGGAGTATCAGAACAGGTAATGATGCCAGTACGTAGATACATGTAGGTGGAGTATTCTCACTCTCTGGAAACTCCTTGCTGTTTTCCAAATTCCAATATCGTACTGAGGAACTGTTTACGCCTCGATACTAGTGACACCCGTCTGCCGGGTGGATTGTTGGCTGGGATTGCCTGTCTGCCATGCTGCACAATGAACGCCGCCCAGCTGTTTTTCAGTCCCTCCATTCATGCTCACTTTACACGGTCCAGAGGTCCCAACAGCAGCAGGTCGAAGAAATCCTTGCACCGCGGTCGTCACTCTGAGACCTCACACGCACACTTACAAGCACACTCACAGCCCATACGCCCTCTTACTCGCTCGTTTCCCCAAATTCCACAGCCCTTTCCCTGACCCCTGCCAGTGTCCTTTTGTCCCCTCGTTTGCCTCTGTCTTTGCAGCATCTGCTGGCCCACTATTTTGCTGCAACTTGCCGGCCACCCGCTGCTCTGTCCTGTAACTCCTGTTGCCCGCCTTTCTTCCCTCTGGAACTAGCCTTGGAGCCTTCTTCTCTTTCTCTCTTTTTTTTCTTTTTTCCTTTTCCTTTCTTTTTTTTTTTACTTACTCGCCTACCTACATCGTTCGCGTTCCCTTTTCCCCCGGAGAGCTCCCCTCCCCCTCCCTTTCAAATCACTATCAGTTCATTAACTTCTTTTTAACCCTTTCGTCCCGCAATTACCCTCTCTTCCAACCTCACCGCCGCCCTATTATCGCTATCACCCTTCTAAGCGGCAACGGCTAACCAAAGAAGGGTCAACAACGCCAGGGCGAGCTTCCACCACCCTTATCCCCCGAACCCCCGTCCCCTCTCTTTCTTCTCTCTCCTCCTTCGTATCTTCCCACCCGAAATTAGAAATCAACTAAGTGAGGTTCGGGTTTTCGTACCTGTTATCAACTCACCCAGACTTCCACCCCCCCCAAGAAAAAATCTCACACCCTTCCATTCCCCCCCTCCAAATATTTCGGCCGTGATTTCAACCTTCAAAGGTTTCCCTAAACTTTTCTCCAACACCCCGATCCTCTCGGTGGTGAAACAGACGACGAAATATGCAGAACGACGCCGTCTACCAGGCCACTACGGCTGTCCTTAGGGCTGTCGCGAAGGGTGATTACAGCAAGTTCAGTGAGGAACAAAGGCTCACTCTTCCCGGGCATGATACCTTTGATAAAAGGTCGCTGGAGAGGGAGCTTATATCGCTGGTACAGCGGATACAGCATTTAGAGTCAAAGGCCAATGCAGTTAGCCAGCACTTTCCTGATACTCCCAACGAAAATGGTGCGCTATTTTCCCCCTTCTCGCTTGTTGGTCGTCACCCCTCACCAATACCTATCCAAGGCGGTCTTGTACGGGACGAAGAAGGGAATGGCAGTAGCCCGACCAGCGATTCCAGCGAACAATCTCACCAGCTCGAGTTTCTGCACAAACATGTCAAATCTCAAGAGCAAGAGATCCAGGAGAATAGGAAAATAATGAAGAATTTGATGGAGGAGGCAGAAAAAGCGAAACAAACTCCACATATTCCCATAGACGAGGCAACAAAAGTAGAGAGACTTCAACGGGAGCTAAAGAAATCACAACAAGCGAATGAGGCTTTTTCAAAGGCTCTCCGAGAAATCGGAGAGATTGTAACTGCTGGTATGTGGCCAACGAGCAAGTATCAAAGTGCTGGGTGGGGTAACTTAGTACTAATTTGAAGTCCGTGCGCAATAGTTGCAAAGGGAGACCTAAACAAGAAGGTTACTGTCCACGCTGTAGAGATGGACCCTGAAATTACTACTTTCAAGAATACCATCAATACCATGACAGATCAATTGCAGACATTTGCAAGTGAGGTATCTCGAGTGGCTCGAGAGGTAGGAACCGAGGGTCGCCTTGGAGGACAGGCTAGAATTGCGGGCGTAGAGGGAACATGGATGGAGTTGACAAATAACGGTAGCTTGGGATCCTTGCTTTTTTCCTGGTCTAATTGACTAGAGTGATAACAGTCTGCCAAACCTTTGAGTTTTTAAAATACTGATGTTTTGTGATATTATATAGTGAACGTTATGGCTTCGAATCTCACAAATCAGGTTCGAGAGATCGCAGATGTTACCACAGCTGTTGCTAACGGAGATCTTTCTCGAAAAATCCACGTTCATGCCCAAGGAGAGATCCTGGAACTGCAACAGACTATTAACTCTATGGTCGATCAACTCCGAACATTTGCCTTTGAGGTTACTCGAGTTTCTCGCGAAGTCGGAATCGATGGCATCCTTGGCGGTCAGGCTGAGATACGTGAGGTATTGTTGCTCTTCCTGCGGTACTTCCAGGGTGCTTACAATAGTTTGCAAATTATAGGTGAAGGGAACATGGCGAGAGCTTACCGATAATGTGAATGCTATGGCTGCAAATCTCACAGATCAAGTGCGGAATATTGCGGCTGTCACTACAGCTGTCGCAGAAGGAGATCTTACCAAGAAAGTCAGCGCCATTTGTAAGGGAGAAATATTACAACTCAAGGAAACTATTAACAAGATGGTCGACCGTCTCCAAAACTTTGCCACTGAGGTTACAAAAGTAGCCCGCGAAGTCGGAACGGAAGGGAAGCTTGGTGGACAGGCTAGAGTAGAGGATGTGGAGGGCACTTGGAAATCCCTCACTGAGAACGTTAACAGTATGGCTCGCAATCTCACAACCCAAGTGCGCAGTATCGCTTCGGTTACAACTGCTGTGGCGGAGGGTAATTTGGCGAGGAAGATTGATGTGCACGCCCAGGGAGAAATTTTACAATTGAAGGAGACGATCAACAAGATGGTGGAACGGTTGCAGAATTTTGCCACGGAGGTTACGAAGGTCGCTAGAGAAGTCGGTACGGACGGAATTTTGGGAGGTCAAGCAAGAGTATGTTTAAATTTTTTGGAACGAAGACAGAACATTCTGACAAAAAACACAGGTACAAGACGTCGAGGGTGTCTGGAAGGATCTTACCGACAACGTTAATATCATGGCCAATAATCTTACTACACAGGTGCGAAGTATTGCAGATGTCACAACTGCTGTCGCCGAGGGTGATTTGAGTCGCAAGATTACTGTGCACGCGCAGGGAGAAGTCCTTGCACTAAAATCGACTATTAACAAAATGGTTGACCGACTTGAGGTATTTTCGAGAGAAGTCAAGCGTGTGGCAAGAGATGTGGGGATAGACGGAAAGTTAGGTGTTCAGGCTGAGGTGAATGATGTCGATGGACTCTGGAAGGAAATTACCAGCAATGTGAACACCATGGCACAAAATCTTACGACCCAGGTCCGAGCCTTCGGGTCCATCACTGCAGCGGCAGCTGATGGTGACTTCAATCGATTCATTACCGTTGAAGCTTCCGGCGAGATGGATGCCCTCAAGACTAAGATTAATCAGATGGTCTTCAATTTGCGTGACAGTATTCAGAAGAACACAGCGGCTCGTGAGACTGCAGAGTTGGCGAACAGAACTAAGTCTGAATTCTTAGCGAACATGTCTCACGAGATTAGAACGCCAATGAACGGTATTATTGGAATGGTATGAGACAATTCTACTTCTTGGATTCTTGAGATAGGACTGACACTTTTGTTAGACTCAATTAACCCTCGACACCGATTTAACCCAGTACCAACGCGAGATGTTAAACATTGTGCATAACTTAGCCAATAGTTTACTGACCATTATTGACGACATATTGGATATTTCGAAGAGTATATTCTCCCGTTTAGCCCTTTACTATGCCACTATTCTACAGACCCCCCCCCCCCCCATTGCGCTATTTTCTCCAGTAACTGACGAAACATTGTAATGCAGTCGAGGCAAACCGTATGGTTATGGAAGAAATTCCATTCTCGCTCCGTGGAACCGTCTTCAATGCCTTGAAAACACTGGCCGTCAAGGCCAATGAACGATTTTTGGATCTCGTCTACTGTGTTGACAATGTTGTTCCCGATCACGTGGTTGGAGATTCCTTCCGTTTAAGACAGGTTATTCTTAACCTTGTCGGAAACGCCATCAAATTCACTGAGAGCGGGGAAGTCAAATTGACTATCCGTCAAACCGACCAATCACGTTGTGCCGAGAACGAGTACTGCTTCGAGTTTTCAGTTTCCGACACCGGGATCGGAATCCAGTCAGATAAACTCGATCTGATCTTTGACACTTTCTGTCAAGCCGACGGCTCTACAACTAGGAAGTTTGGTGGTACAGGTCTTGGCTTATCAATTTCGAAACGTTTGGTAAATCTTATGGGTGGTGATGTTTGGGTCAAGAGTCAGTATGGTCAGGGTAGTACTTTCTACTTTACATGCATTGTTCGCCTTGCATCAACAGATCTTGGTGGAATTATGCCCCAACTCAAACCCTACAAGGGTCATCACGTTCTCTTCATCGATAAGAACCGTGAAAATGCCGCTATTCCCGAGATGTTGAGAATGCTCGATTTGGTACCGATTGTCGTGCATTCCGCAGAGGACGCACCGTTGCCGGATATGAATAACGGAAGGAAGGGTGTGATGTACGATGTCATACTTGTTGACTCTATGGAGACTGCCTTGAAGTTACGGACATTGGACGACTTTAAATACATTCCACTTGTACTCCTCTGCCCGATAATCCAGGTCTCACTCAAGTCTACACTCGACTTGGGTATTACTTCTTACATGACCACCCCATGCCTCCCAATCGATCTGGGGAATGGCATGATCCCTGCTTTGGAAGGAAGAGCTGCGCCTTCGGTTTCTGAGAATTCAAAATCCTTCAACTTGCTATTGGCGGAGGACAACATTGTCAATCAGAAGTTAGCTGTGAAGATCTTGGAGAAGTATCACCATACTGTAGAGGTTGTTGAGAACGGTTTGCAGGCTCTCGAAGCTGTCAAAAACAAGCGATACGATGTAATATTGATGGATGTACAAATGCCTGTTATGGTAAATAAGCCTCCTTTCAAACTATAGTCTTTAGGTGTTCTGACACGTTTGTCTCTAGGGTGGCTTTGAAGCAACTGCGAAGATTCGCGAGTATGAGAAAGAGGCCGGGTTGTCAAGGACACCCATCGTTGCCTTGACGGCTCATGCCATGTTGGGTGATCGAGAAAAGTGTATTCAGGCTCAGATGGACGAATATTTGTCCAAGCCCCTGAAGCAGAATACACTAATACAAGTCATCCTCAAGGTAATAACTCGAAATGG